ATGCACACACACGCACAAAGTGGAAAACACGAGTTGACACAAAAGAATTCCATAGAATCAAAAACTTTCGCTATCTCCTCGATCATTCAATTGAAAACTCGATCGCTAGTCCATCGAGACACCATGAAATTCGATCATACGATAAAAAACTATTGCTCGTACAAGCTCCGCGTACATTCCTCTAAGTGGAAATGCGGAAGGTGTCCGCGTGGAGGATCACGCGACTCGACAAGTCAAATCACAGGTTCTGGCCTGGTAAACGTTTCTAAATTGATCGATCGCCGCGCGCGTGCTCATTGTCCTGTCGCGAGCCTTTTAGAAGCAGCAGCAGCAGTGATCCATCGTCGATCGTGGAGAAAGAAAACTCGCTCTCGGCGTAACCGTGATCCGGTTGGCCGTGAAATGTACACAAAGCACGTATACACACGTGCACACTTGAACGCACACGCGCGCGCACCGGTGTCGCACGCACAAAGTCACTTTTCATCCGGTCTCTTCCGGGCTCCGGGAGAAACGAAGGGAAATCGATGCGAAGCGGCGCGTCGCGAGCGTTCTCCGCCTTCCGCCGGCCAAGACCCAAGGATGACTTGTGGATAACTGTTGATGTATGTATCGTGAATCGGATCGCGCGGCTCGATGACTTTCGAATCCGTTCTGCGTCCGCCTTATCGATCGGCCGATCACTGCACCTCGCAGACGAAGAACGTTTCGAAGCTGCACGGGCTGTCGTTCCACTTTAGCCCTTTGCCGTCTCTATTCCATAACTCGAGACAGTGCTCCTCTTCGCCGTTCTCGTATCTGAAACGCGAAGAATAAATTGCAATGATTGCTTTACCCGGAATGAGTACTTTCGAGCTGCTCTTTGCTTTCAATCGTCGCGTCTCTTAATACGTCTGGTGCCTTTATAAATTCAGGTATCTTGGTACTGATGCTTATTAATATTGATATATTAAGAATACATATTAATATTGATATTGATGCTTGTTAATACTTGAAATGAACATTCTTCCCCATTTCTTCGCGAGATTGTTTTCAGTTGTATAGAAATTATTATTCAGGGAAAACACTTTAACAGTAGCAATGCTTTGTTTATAGACAAGTAGGATATGCTAAATGAATCTTCAAAAAATAAATATTCTCAGGAGTAACTGAACGCAATGGCGTTTTTCGTAATATTAAATTGGAACTCGTTCGCAATCAAATTTGACAGATAACAGTCTTTATTCTTTAGTTCTATAAGTAACCTTCTCACAAATTAATCGCGTTTCATGTTACACGATGTTTACATTTACAATTCCTTGTTTACAATATATAAAACAAAATTGCACTACTCGAGATATGATAGTCAAAGAAATTCGCGCTATGTTTCGTAACGTGAGCTCAGACGTTTACACAGTTCTAGGCACATAATATCTTTCTTGCCCTAGAGAAATATTTTTACCTGAAATTGTTCGGCTCCCCGACGTTCCAATTCTCGAAAGTAATCGGCCTGCCATTGGCCATCCAAAAGAAAGTACCCTCCTCGGCCTGATCCGTGCCAGAGGTCCAAAAGTGTTCGTGTCCGAGACCGAAGTCCTTAATATGTTTCTCGAGCCTGTCGTTCTCTTCCTGGGATGCGATGCTCGCCAGATGCATCCCGTGATATCGGCAGTATTGGGACGCCCTGTACCAGTTCGCCTGCGAATACAGGGAGCATGAAACGAAAGGAAGAATGAAATTTCGCTGAAGGAGCATTAAATGGGAATTTGAAATTCACTAGAGCTTTCTATGCTGGCTACCGTCGCCGCCTCGTTCGGCATCTCCTTTTTTCCCCATGCAATCGTTCTTCTTATTGCTATCGTTACGCGGAACGAAAGAGGATGTATATACCCTTGTTTATAAATATACATGCGGGGTGTTGCACTTTGCCCGTGGTTATTCAACGGACGTTTATTAATAAAACATGAGGACAGGGAAATTTTCTAATTTATTCTAATCATCCGGCGGGATGAGCGCTTTAAAGTTCCCGTTGCCAGAGGCGTGCATTCCTTGAACTTTAAAGGAGGCTTGATGAAAAATTGTTGTCGTCTTTGGTCTTGTTAGAGCACGCCCCTAATTAAGATGTTTGATGCAAACTTTTTCTGAAGTGATTTAAGTGAGGGGCCTTGATGACATTACTATACGATTTGATCGAAATTAATAGCACCTTGTGATCTTCTTTCGCGACTCGGCTTATCGAAGCTGTTTATCGTTAATTATTTGCTAAATGAGAAATTCTACATTTTTGGTTTGGCGTTTGTTTTACAGCTAGGACATTGGTAATAGCGAAATATTGTTTTTCAATTGAAAGAATTAACATTGTTCATGTTTTTGTGATACAACTTGAAATCTTTACTACGCAAAATATTTTATTCTGCGTATATTTGTAGCTTTTTGCTGCAGAAGATCTGAAAATTATTTTGTTTCTCAATACAAATACATGAACAGTTTTGGAAAAGCAATATTCACGCGCACCATTTTTCTTGTTTGAAATAAATACTTATTGAAAGTAGTTAGCCAAATTAATTCTAGATATCAAAATACTTCATCTAGATAATAATTACTCATTATCCAGAGCAAAGAAGTCCATTGATTGATTCGAATCGTTCATACAAAATAATTGAAATTACAATGCAAATAATAATGAACGAAAATTCGTTAATATCACTTGTACTTTTTCGATATGAAACACCAATACCTTCCTACCTACTTATGAATACATAGTTAACCAACAATGAATTCATATGAAAGAAAGAAGCTTTTACATTTAATATTTAAAATTACCTTAAAGTTTACATGAATTACAATTTTAACTTTTTAAGGATTAAGGACACAATATATTTCAACAATAGAATAATAAAATAGATCTCACTTTGTTCGTTGCGTTAAATACGACAAACCGCATACATAAAATTTCATCGATCGGTGGTGTGATACAGTGCTGTCAATATTTTTTGCGCGAGGTAAGAGGTCATTGCAAGCTTGCCAAAGATTTGTCGTGTCATAAATTCGCGTCCAGCGTCACGGAATTGGCTGAATGTGATTTTCGTGTCGGTTCCGAGGAATGTTTTCCCGTGGTCAGTGGACCCAATCCTCAAACACGTTTTACCACCCTTTGGAGGAGGACAGGAGAAAAAAAAGGGAAATGGAGGAGACGAAAAATCCCGTGTTGTTCGGTGGGAATGCAAATAAAGCGCAATAAATAGAGCGTCGCTGCGATTGCACCGATGTCGCCCGAAATTCTTTTACCGTCTCTTCCTACTCCTTCTACACCTGTACCACTACTGCACGTAATTCTGCACCGTCAATCGGAACATTAAATCCCTCGGAATCTTTTCTTAAATTTAAATTTCGCAGGCAGAATCCTTATTAAATTTATCACAGGACGAAGTTTCGAGAAACAATGTATTGTAATTCGTTGTAGCAATTTAGGTGCGTTGTTAGTGAAGTACATGGAAATTACGATATTGTAATTTCTTACTCCAATAGGTTAATTAAGTACTAATTCCTGGGTATATTAGATGTTTTAGTGTAAGGTTTGAAACTTCTTTGCTTTAAATTATTATATATTATTCTTTAAATTGTGGTGAAAGAATTGTGGTCCTTTCTTCCGACTCGATACTCAATAATTTGTTAACTTATAAGACACGTTGTTATAAAAACTACAATTATTTGAATTCTAAAATTTTATGATTGATTTTTAGAAAAGTGCTCTGTTAAAATTAACCATCGTAGGATATGATACAGAACTATCTCTACAGCTTCGTTTAACCCCTTGTCATTCCATTTAACCGGGCAAAATCCGAGCCATTATTATGACGACCGATATCTCACTTGTGTTGTCACCTCGAGTCAGACTCGTAATATTTATGTTTGGTCCTCAATTTTTATTACGAGTCAAACTCGTTAAAGTACGGCAAGAGGTTAAGAAGTATATTCTGATATTGATTTTCGATTAGGGTTATAATCTTGATCATGATCAGTTATTACGATTATAATAAGAATCCGGAATTAAACTTAAAATGTACGCGTCTTTTCCCTTCAACTACTATGTATTTTATGATATTTCATTAGCATTATTATGTATTTGTTTCAAGATATAGTCGCTATAATTCCTAGTTTTGTATTGTTGACCCAAAAATAAACTATAACAATGGTAATAGCTCCACCAAAATATAAAAAGTTTAGCTAATCGTAGAAGTTCCGGTATATATTTTACAGGGGTAATTGAATTTACTTGAAAATTGCTATCTAAAGCCAAACGCGATGAAAATATTAGTCCTTTGCAGGAAGTAAGGTCAACGCGGACACTCGTTCTCTTGAGCAAATTACCCATGGCAATCGATGAACGTGAAAAGAATTATTCGCCATCGCGCATCCAAGTTTTCCCTAGTAATTATACTGTACGTTTGCTACTATAAAAGGAAAAGACGCATAATTAATTTTATTGAATGACCAATAGTTTACTTTAAAGTTCACGATTAATTTATTCGAAGTTCCTTTCGCATGGACAAGCAGTCCTTTCACATATAAATTCTGATAGGACTATGATTTACAAACTTTAAAATTACTTTCAATAATAGCTTCACTCATTTGTGAAATAAAATTCTAAAGATCTTTGTTTAAAACCATATAAAAATTAAAACAGGTTTTTCATGATGCATTACAAGGTTTTTTAGTGATACAAACATTCTTTGTTACTTATTTATCTGTTGATATTATCGTTTTGAAAGTAGAGGAAATCAATACTTTATTTATTATTCTAGCAGTCATTCCTAAATTTAATACTATACAAATTTCTTGTTAAAATTAACAGTAACGTATATTTTACATTAATATTACTCGTATAATTTTTTACTTTTTACGAGCAATAACATGGTACACATAGAATTGCAAAAAAATCAAACATAACTTCCCTATATTTCATTATTACCTATTATTTTAATAAATAGTTTCCGTGGAAAAGAACATATTGAAATATTCTAAATGAATAATATACATCCGTTAAACATTAAAAAAATGTATTTTTTATTCAATAAAAGGAATATTTCTTTTTATTCCACATTTTGCAAAATAAACTACGAACGAGGAGAAAATGAATTCATATCGTCAGAAACATGTTCGCTGTTCTGTACAAGCGCGCTGACAGTTTCGAACGTCACAACTGTAAACAGAGGATACCGAATCGCATAGAATTTAATATCGTTCCTTTTCAATTTAATAGACAGATTTGTCGTTAACAAATTACGTGCCTTTGGAATAAAACAATTCCAACTTGGACTTGTCGCTATCATTTATTTTTATTACATGGCGCGATATCAGCATTTCTGTATTCACGTATTACTGAGAGAAAAGAGGCGCGTGTATTCTACCACGAAAGTTCGAGCTCAAAAGCACAAGCATAAAGGTATATAAATTGGACACAGTGCTCCATTACAGTTGGAAAATGAGCATTCCCGTATATTTTATACGCGATAGGGTAAGCGCAAAGAAACGCGGACCGCGCTATATTTGCATATTTCGCAATGCGGTGCCATTGAAATATTTCTAATATTACGCGTGCCCTGTCCCCAACGACAGTAATATTCCGTCCTCCGAAGTAACTTGCGTCGATTATTCGTTTCAAAATAAATATCTACTTGGATGAACACATTCATGGTCCCTATAGCTTTACAAGTCATTTCTTTACAAATAAAAATTGGATACTTCTTAACTTCCCTTTTTCATCGTAAAGTATTATTTTCAGTTGAAGCCCCTAAATTATACATTCATTTCCTAGTGTTAGAATTCGATGTACGAATATTTTAATCAATGCAAGGTTTAATGTACTGCATGATGTTGGTTCTGTGTGTGTGTGTGTGTGTGTGTTTTTTGTTCTTTTTGTTATGGCGTTACGATATTAATTCAGGCTAGACGTGTTAAATATATATTCCTCATTTAAATAAATCTGACACCTAGATTCATTTGATCCACTTAACATTAAAACTACTGAGCAGTTAAATTGACTTTTTGAAATTCCTTCATAGAAATTCCAAGAGTGCATCATCTACGGAGATTTTAGTTGATTTACAATTCAGTTTTCGTATTGCTAAATCAATTTCTTCAATAATTTCTCAAAGAAACACCTGTTATCTTTTTAACAATTGCAAAAAGAAGACATCAGGAATAGATCATTTTGAACTATCTGGTAGTTTTAATGTTAACAATAATTTAATGACAAAATCATTACCATAGCATGGCAAATGAAAATGTCATATGAAATTTCATTTGAGTGAGGTAAATATTCATTCCCAAAGTACAATGAACATTAATTAACAGAATACCCATATTTGACGATCATATTTCATCACGTCGCATAAAGTTTCGTCCAATTCGAATTCAGTCATTAAATTAGATAAATTAAATTGGAAATATGACAGGTTCGAAGTAATTACGCCGACTTTAGTTCTATAACCAAACTGTCGGAACTGAACAAAGTAGTGTGTCTTCGTTGTGTCACGAATTACCGCGCGAATTATAATTCTGTTCGGGGTCATAAATCCCGAAGTAACCTTTCGGTACGCGACTCTTCTTGACACTTGTCCGCCAAATTAATATTGGACAATTAGATCGATTGCGTTAAATCCCGACTAATGGACTGTAGTTCCCGAAATTTAAAGGAGTATTCACGTTGTCCCGCACGATGGACTCGTGATTACTAACAGCGTATGAGTATGAGTCTCGTATGAGTGACTCGATTGAACTTGTGTCTATCTCGAACGATGGACTTGCCGAATCAGTTTGAATCTGGTAGAATCTCGTAGGATTTGATTGAATCTTTGTCCCGAACGATGGACTTGTAGAATCTCTTTGAATTTGATGCGAGTGCGATCCTGTAGGTGTTTTTATACAATGCCTACAGGTCGCATCGACTGCGCTGTTTGGAAAGTCGAAAATACCCAATCGGCGCATAATTCCAAAAATTGGAGGCGTCTTGGACGACGCCCTTTGGACAGCCCTCTTGGTGCAAGGGTGAGGGCAATGGCCACGTGCGAGGGATCCTCGAAGATTTGCCGATGCCTTGGAAATTTCCTCCAAGTTGACTCATATCTAGCGGAACCGTTACGAACGAGGTTCGAGTCGACCCTTTGGAAATTCCCGGTTTACGATATGGTCGGTTGTCTGTACGAACGAAGTAAAAATTCCAAAACTATTGTCTGCACACGCGCGGAGTGACTAAATGATTTTACCATGATTTAGGGTAAAATTGCCCCTTGCAATAAAAAATAAACTGACTTCGAAAGAAGCTAATCTCGAAAATAATTTTGTTGGCACGTCCATGTCGTAAACGAACCTTCGAGGATTTTCGCCGTTTTGTTCCGCATCGGACGGAACAGGAACAAAACGCTATTTCAGGCGGGTATAATTGAACTTCTGAACGTATATGGTTAATCGGCACCCAGCCTATCGCCGAAAACTTGAAATTCGGGATATTTAAACGAGTTAAAATGGGATCAAGGTGTCACCTCCGGCTACGAAGGCCGATCAATTCCTCGACGAGCTTTTGACCCCGTTATTAGCTATTCGTGTTTAGCCCAAACGTGTTGCCCATATTTTGCCTACTTTTCCCTAACCTAGACCCCACGCAGCAATTTATCCCAGCCTCGAATTCATCGGAAAGTAAAACTTCTCGTTGTGGTGTGTTCCCAGATGAATTCGCCTCGCCCGCGCTCGTTTCCGCCGAAAGTGGCGGGCGAGATCGGGCAACTCTCTCTTTCCTCCGCGGCGAGTCACCCACTTTCCTTGACTCGCGGGCAACGGAACTGCATTATTAAGAGGGATTTTGCAATACAGTGGCGTGTCCGGTCCGCGGCCTTGCTGCGATCTCTCGAGAAGGTGGGTGGAAGTGACGTAAAACCGTTTCTCTAATGATACGAGTAAGTAACCGTTTCGTAAGAGCCATCGTGAACGTTCATCTCCGTTTAGTAGTTTTACATTCTTCTTTTGTTTTGTGTATCGTGCTATGATGTTTTGATTGATGATTCGATTTATGATTTCTAGAGATGTTATTTACACATATTCTGAATGCTAGTGAGTAACAATAAAATATATTATGTATGAAGGGTGTACCGAACCAAATGATGGTGGATAATGCATAATACCAATCGATTAGTAAGTTAATTCAATATAAGCTATAACATTTCTTTCTTGTTACAAAAGTATTATTAAAAATAAAAATTTTATATTTATCTCCTAAATTCTGGAGGTTACGGTACGGTTAAAAATTAATATCCTTCGTGAATTTAACCTGCTAGTAACATCTTTCCGAACAGTATAGTGATTGTAAAATGAGGAATTTTAGTCGGTATCAAAAGTTTAGTTACTAAAAGTATTTAATTAGTACTAATACTCCTCGAAGCATAGTGATTTTACGTTGATTAAAATTTCTTAATAAATTCCTCCGAGAAAATTGAGTTTGAATATTGGTTCGGTTAGTGTGCACTCAGGTATAGATTCTGACACTAAAGAAGGACCACGAAACAAGGGAGACGTTTCACGGCTCCACTTGCGATAGTAATCGTAGGTTCCTCTTACCTCGTAGTATCCTTAGGGTGTCTAAAACTGTACTTGAGTACACCTGTACCTAGTCATTATTCAAATACAATTTTCCAGAAAGATAAATTTTCTACGAAAAAATTCTATTTAAACTTATTCAACTTATACATACTGTTCTCCTATATAGGACCCTCACTTCAAGACGAATTTTGATTTTGATTTTCAATTCTAATAACACTATGGTACAATAAACATTCCGCATATGTATACCACTGTCTATTTTTAAAAACATTTTTACATACAATAGCTACTTGATGAATTTTTTGAATAAAATAAGATATTAATAAAAACCATACAAACCTACGTATGTAAATTTTAAAATAGGGTAAATCGAGGCGAATCGGATCACATGATGAATCGAATTGAAATAAAAATCAATTATTTGCTAAAGGAAGAATAAAAAATATTTTCTCGTTTCTCATTGTTAACGTTCAAGTACTTTTAGTTCTGTAATGTCAAACAAAAAATGATCCGATTCGGCTTAACCTACTCTACTTTCGGAACAATTATATATTTGAGGGTTCGAAAGAATCAAACTCGAATCCTCTAGTCTCTGAAATCTAACACATAAGGCTTCGAATAGAGATTCCAAGTGAGGAAAACTCGAATCTACAAGCAAATAATTCTGCAAAGCTAATTATTTCCAATCAGTCTTCTCTTTTCTCTGTTATTGCGCTGGTAACGCGCTGAGAAGAAAATTTATCTTTCCCTTTCCTAAAATTGCCTATCTGATCGTCAATGTGATAGTCTGCCAATGTGATCGGGATTTTACTTCTTCACGGTGAAACGACGTGAATCTCAGGGGCTCGGTCCCGATCGACAAGATCGCTTTTCCGCGTTCTTCCTCGCGTCGCACAAAAGCACGGGCGTGAGCTACCTAGCGCTCGCGCGCGCGCACACACACTTCCGCACACCTGTGTGCACGTGTGTGTGGTGAGAGCTGGGGATACTCCTAGTCAGGTGAAAAGATCGATAACAGGCTGGTCTGGCATTCGATGCACCGTAAAGTGTCAGAGACGGTGAGCCGGAAAGTTACGGGCTTGGAAATAATTTGATAAAGTCCGGGAGGTCGCGTCCACGGGACAGCTAGATAAATCAAAGTAACTGGCAGGTATGATACCTTGAAGAAGATCCCCAGGTAGTATCTCTTCTCGCCGAGTTTCAGCAGTGGCATCGTCCATCTTGAAGCAGCTAAGGTGCTGCTGTGCTCGTCCACGCAGTTTGGACAATCATCTGTGAAACGAAAAACGTAGAAAATGTAAATACACTTTTACCTGGGTAGTATGGGTAGAAGAATATGAGGATGGAAGGTTGTAGGGAGGAATATAGGGTGAAACTGCCTTTTGAAGATAAAAGGTTGCTGGGATTGGTACCTGGACTTCATTGCACATTGTTTTATGCACTTTCCGTAATAATAACTAATTACAGATAACTATAGAATATTATATAATATATATTATCCTAAGATTGATGTTAGTTAATGATTTAATACATTCGGGTTGGATGGGCATTAGTTTCCAAAGAAAGTAAATTCCAATTTTTTATTGGAATTCCCAACTACTTCTCGAGACGATACTGTATTTCCCAAGGCAATACGTATTCGTTCTTGGGTTAGGTCCAAAATGTCCGTCCCCAATGTACTCACTGAGACACATTCCTTTTCTTGAGTTTTAGATTCTACTTTTCTACTATTTTTCTAGTATATATTTTCTTAATCGTTGGTTTAGTACGTTAATAACCTCTGTTCACATAATGAATTTTGTAATTTCTCAGATTGCATGTTTCTCTCGTTTATACTGTTCCTTACTTACAATTTATGGCGTTTGTAATATTAAAATTTGTATTATTCTATTAAAAATATTTGCAATTGTAGTCAGTGTATATAAAAATGACTAAAATTGACGTGATACGTGGTTAATAATTAACAATTTCTTGGAACCTGCCAACCTCTACATTCTGAGAATGGAGAACCACTTCAGGAATAATCACTTTATTCGAGGTCACAGGTTAACTGTAACATAAACGTCGCCTACCCAATAAAAGGTACGAATGATATCTGAATACTGATCAAGAAGATTCACGATGAGCGAAGTAAGAATGAATTAATAATAGTCGTGTCTTGCATATCTATTAACCTTTTACTTTTCCTCTATCATCGTGTTAATTGTTGTAATAGGTTTCTCTGCGCAGCGATAGTGGAAGAAGAAAACGCATTATTACCCGGCTGTAACACTGACCGACGTGTTATATAACGCGGAAGAGTCAACGCGTCACATCGTGTAATGTCTTTGAAGGAAAACGGACGGGGCCATGTGAAAACTCCATTATTAAAAGCACGTTCGCGGCGCACTTTTGGCCGTACTTTCGTGAACCATTATTTCGCGGCATAATTCTTGGTAAGGGCAAAAGTTTTAATGTCCTCGGCGATAAAACATGCCTATGGAAATGAGGAACTTAACGAGAAGTTCGGGATTATATAGACTGTAAAATGAACGTGATTCTGACGCCGTTTCATAACTTAAGTAACGTCACCTTGAATTTCGGCTGACCCTCGAGTACCTAGCGAACGAATGATTAACCCTTTTCACTCGAGAGGTGACTCTCAGTCACTACTTAATTTGATGTAACAAACTTACAAATTTAATTCAAAAGTTTCTATACAAGAACAAACGTAGACTACAAAACTATAAATGTTTATGAGCATTAATAGGCTAAATATTAATAATATCGTTGAATGTTAACGTGAAGTGTTATAATAAGTGTTAAAATACTTTTTTTTAGATTTCCTATGATTATCAAGATTCCTGTATGGTTTGCAAAAATATAGAACTTAGGGGAATTAATACTGTAATCGATGGAACTTATTTTATATTTACTACACATTAAATCACTGTAAAAATTTCTAAGTTAACTTCGTTGAGTGCAACTGTTGTTCGAAGGTTGATCAATTTAAAATGTTACACAGTCTTTAACTATCATATGATGTATGTGAAATATAAGGAGTATTTCTAGTAGAAGAGGTCTCATAATTTTATGAATGTCTTTTGTGGGTTTAGCGTTCAGAATCGTGCAGTGGTATTACCTTATGCAATCCTGATGAGAAATTTTCGGTGACAGCCACGATCCATTGGTAAATTTCTCTCCGTTTGCACCGAAGTTACTCACACGATTACAAAATAACGCATCACTTTATTAATCTTCAACATTATGTAAATTACACGATGGCAGTTTCACTTTTACATACGTCAAGCGTGACTTTATATAATAATAAAATCGATTATTGCTGCTACTTTAAGTGGTAAAATGTACAAAACACCTTCGACATGAAATCATAGATAAAACATTAATATCTTTGTGCTTTTAAAAATTACTGCAATGAAAAACTGGGGATTTGCGCAAACGTTCTACTTACGGTTGTAAAAAGAGTACAAGCCAGCCAGCGACATTGTCTCCAATTTAAATTCGGCTTATATCGTCCTTTAATATTATTTCTTTATTTTTTTACTTGACATATAAGAAATTATTTTTGTTCACAATCAGTGAAGCACATTTTGTTTCATGACTGTATTTCATTGTTTTCCATTTATTCCATTTCGTATGTATTTATTAATTAAATACTTATTTCACTGTGAATATTAAAATGATATAATTTCTTGACGCAAAATATCATAAAATTTGTAAATATTGATCATGGTTACCCATTTTCTACTTTCACAGAAATAATAAAAATTCTTATAATCACCGGATTTAAACCTATATGCTTTTCTAATTACTTTCATTTTGTGTTATAACACATCGAAATTAAAGGAACTGTAATGTACATAGCAAACTGTAATAGGTACTAAATTATATTATAATAGATGACAAACTCTAACCACCTGGCCCGTATATAACCTTTCTATATCAACGTGTTTATCGTTGTCGATAGAAATAATATTAAACGTCGCAGACAGAATTTCATTATTCTGCAAATTACAATATAATTCGAAAAAATAATTTCAAACCAACATATTATATTTATATTTAATTAGCAAGAAAGTAATATCAGTGAGTGCAAAAGTGGATTCATAATAGTGTTATACTTTTATTTAAACAACTACTCTACTTCACTATTGTCTTTATTATTTAGTTCACTATTTTCTACAACTATATTTCATTATCTCGTGGCCCTCTTACAGTTTAATTAACTCTAAATAAGAAATAATCTTAACTCAATCAAAGGGAGATGTTAATTTTCTACAAATGCAATACATTTTAAGGCGCCGAATTATTATAATATCTCCTTAAATAACAATTGAATTTTCACTCTGCTTTTTTTCACCTTTGTCCATTCATTCACTATCTATTTTATTGATTTCTGCTGCAAGTATTGGCTACACATACATCTTCGTTACGTGTACATTTTTCATATTACTGAATAGGTCTGAGCAAACTAAAAACAGTTAATCAATCATTCACACAGATGACGTCAAAAAGTGGACTAGTGTTGTTTTAAAGTTCACGACTTCAATGCTCGATCGTTATTTTTAATTATCGATCTTCCAAGACGCGTTTCCCTTCAAATTCACCATCAAGATACGATAAAAGCTTTCCGGATAAATATGACAAATACTCCGTAACTCCGTAACGAAACAATTTCTCATCTTCGCACCCAACAATTTCATCTTTAACAAGATTCCGCTCGATCTCCGCAGCGACGCGCGGATCGTCATTAACCCTCCGATTACCACTTTCCGGTGCACCGTACCGATTAATCCATACACCAGTCACGGAGAAATTCCGCATTTTCCGTAGGCAACGCGTCGTTAGGTAGCCGCGATTAAATTGTATAATACAATAGTAACATCTAATTTAACATCTACTTGTATCATCTTGAATAGCAGATACATACATGGAAACAATGATTTCAGTAACAAATGTCAACTGTACTTCTTCCTATATAATATCATTTTAATTGTCAATTGTCAAGTATCAAGATATTCATATTAAATTCTTTGATATTAAAACATTAAGTCTCACGTTTCATGTCGTTACTTATTGATCATACTGTATCAGATTCGTGACGAACATTTCGAACAGAAAACGACAGTCAGGATAAGCAGTGTGAATGTAGATAAAGTAATCTTTTGCGATCATCGACAGATATACCTATTTTTATTGGTAATCATGTAGTTAATAAATCTTTGTTAACATTTTAGCTACTGTACATTCGTACATGGTACCGTATATCATCTTTTTGAACGGTACGCCACTATAGCGGCACAATTCTTTCTCTGTCATCGATAACTGTGCACATTGTAGTCTAATTTAACGTGTTTGCACAGTGGAAAATTCTATCAGCCTCAAATCACAGTGATATTAAATTTATGATATGCAGACTGCGTCAAACCTTGCCATACAGACGTTAGCTTCGTGACTAGTCCCGCCGTAGGTAAAAGGTTAATATTAAAAGTCTACTATGCTGTCTCAATCCTATAATAGTATTAACCATCGTAATTTCGGCAGAAACCATAAGACAAGAATTTAAGAATCATTGGTATCTGCTCCCGTGATTGTATAGCATCGTAATAGAGTGCGATAATACGGGCAGATTTCACCGCGTATTGAGAATCGCTAGGGGTTGTCTTCGCGTGGCCGAAGTATAGCAAAGAATTTGAGTATCGCGACGGTCGATGGCCGAGCTAAACGCCTTCGGCGGTTTCGTTGCCGGGCTGATTAAGCCGGCGTTCTGCATATTTTAATAATCGCTTCGTTAATCGCTGCGCGAGCCGCGCGTTGCGGTCCGCGGCACCGTCGTCCTCCCGGAATACGTCACCCTGCATTAATATTCAACGGTCCTCTTAATAGACACTGTTGGCTCTCACTTCCCGTCCCAGTTTTTTCTCTAGCCCCGCCAGGGACCCGTTGTCCCGCCCGCGGACTTTCAATAAAAATATGTATGAGAGGGCTATTAGCGGGAGAGTTTCTTCGAGGAAACGCCTTCCATCGTTAACCGTTCAGCCACGAGATGCTTTCCGAGCGATGCAAAGTATTTCGTCGTACCCGCGGTCGCGTCGGTTGGTCAGCTTTATTAAATTTAGCCTAGGCCGTTGCTAGTTTGGCGACGCTGCGGTTTCCTCGGCATGCTAACTACGGCGTACGGCTTGTGTTCGTCACGTCGAGTGCGAATATTTCAGGAGAGCGTGAACCTCTCGTTTGTAAGGTGTTCTCAGCGTGTAAATGGCGGTGACATG